GTTCCGCTTGGGCGTTACTCCACAAGACAACTATTTAGGTAGGAACATAGTTCCAACTGATGAGCCGGGCTCTCAGCTCTTGGTCTGGTGTTGGGCGAACAATATTACTACAACCGGACCAGGACACCTTTTCACCATACTTGTAATTGGCTGAGGCACGTCTTACAAGCAGACTACTTTGGTTAGGAACAGAGTTCCAATTAAATCATAAAGATCCAACTCCTGGCTGGATGAGTGAGTAAAATCATTCGACTTGTCATTGATGACCCCAACTTACTACCTCTGAGTCGTCCATCCATTTGACCGAGACTCAGTTAAGTCTAACCCAACGTGCGACAGCGACCATGCTATGGCGGTTCCCGTAACCAGCTTAACATACACCGTACTATGCTCTGCTGAGGCTGAGTACATGACAGGCACATTAACCGGATAGGTGTCGGGCGTCAGAAGGTAACAGACTTAATATTCGTGAGGGATTTATAATTTCGATCTCACCTATCGACATGGCCGCGCACATGTCTATTACTAGCGTTCAACATACATTCAACATGCATTCACAAAACGTAGTAAATAAACGTGTAATGATTGTGGCCCCTAAAAAAAATAAAACGATAGCTCCCACTGGCTTCCGGGCACTTGGACTTCGGGCTATCTCCATTCTTTTAGATTTGTCCAAACGGTCTTCAAATCTTTTCATCTTCAAACCACCACGTGAGAAAAGAATCCTCGGTTGAGGTAAGAGAGAGAAATAGATTTACAACAAGAGTTTAAGAGATAAGGCACGACACGCAGGCCGTATTATAATCAAATAAACTATAGCCACAATTATCCACCATGCATATGATACATCCACACAAGCAATAGAGATATACATACACCGGGTGAACCGCGCTCACCCCAGACAGTTCTAAAAAAAATACTACGGCAGCAAATATTTTCTAAAACTCATAAAATTAAATTAGATGTCCAAATAAATCTAATAAAATTTTATAAATTCATTTTATATACTTTGGATATTCTGCCAGCATAAAAAAAACATCCAGAATATTCTAAATGACCAAAATGCCCCTTTTGCAAAATTATATTCAAAAGGCCATTAAAATTTTGAAACAATTTTGCAAAAATCATGAAAATTAAATTTCAACTTCAAGTAATTATTTTCAACATTTATAAACCTGGAAATAAAATTTCCAAAATTTATAAATCATTATTTCCAAAATATATTAGTTAAATCTCAATAAGTTATAAAAAGCCATTTAAATTGATTTCGAAAATATTAAATTACAAAAATTTAATATTTTGAAAAATATTCTTTTTCTTACTGAGATATAACTTTCCAAAATATATATTAGTCATTTATGTAGTTAAAATACAAATATATAAATATATATAATATTTCGGTAATAAAACCGAGTACATATATAAATATATATTTATTTAATTACTAACTAATATTATTTTGAACAATATATTTATCAACAACCTTATTCAACTTAGAAATAATATTTCCAAGTTTAATAAAGTTCATTTTGAATTTTCCATATTTATTTTTGGTTTTCACCTAAATAAATACAATAAATTCAAAATAGGAAAAAATGCATTCAAAAATTACAATATAATTTTATCAATCATAAAATGATGTTTTATGTCCAAATAAATTTATATTTACTATTTCTAAATATATATAAATATATATTTCGAAAAATCAAAATATATATATTTATATATATATATTACGTGTAGAAATAAAACAAATAAATTTAAAATTCATTTTCAATGATTTATTTAAGTCCAATAATTATTCCAAGACTAAATAAAATCATTTTACCAATTTTTGAATTTTCATAATTACCAAGTTAAAACTTTGACTTTTAAAATTTTAAAAGTCAAACGTAAAACTATAGTTTTGTACGTTGGCTCTGATACCACTGAAAGGTAACCATGCAAGGATAGGCAGCGGAATATAAAAAATTTTAACATCCTAACATGATTATCTTGCCCAGAATCACGTACTAAAACCTATAGTGAGTAAGAAATTTATACCTTTCTCCGTAAGCGGTAAAAACGAAGAAGTCGTAGGAAGAGCGTTGAAAGTGCAAACGTAACCGTTCAAGCGTCCGGTCTCCAACTTTGACACACGAACAACGCCGGAGTCTACCATAATCTTTATGCTAGTAAAGACTATAGTAGTATAAAATATAAAGATTAAAATTGGGATAATAATAATCTTGTATATTTCTATAGAAAATATTTCTAATAATATTTAGAAAATATTATAGATATTTTCTATACACAAAATGATATTAATAGAACACAAAAGATAAACTTTCTCTCTTTAAAATGTAATGGCCGAAAGTTTCTTCTCACACCTCAATTAAAAGTGTTGTCTCATTATATGGAGTGTTAAAGAGGATTTAAAACAATTATACACTTAATGACAAGTTAGGAAATTTCCTACATCTTTAAAATGCAAAGTCAAAAGTGTTTTTGTCCTCATAAACATCACATTGCCGTAATTGAAGATTTGAGGAAGTGAGAAGGATTTTCAAAATTCTTCTCCACTTAAATGTTCAAAGTGTATTTTATTTGACACCAAAAATTAATATAAAA